AGGACTGGGACTTGTTGACTACACACGTAACATTCTATACAATAATAAACTTGGTGTCTCATCATTAAGTACAGTAGTCAAATTATAAATTATAGTTACAATTTTACAAGACTTAAGTAAGACTAAATTAATTTCACATTTCTGGTGGTTTCTTACCGTCCTGCAAATGTTACTTCTTTTCATATTATAATCTATTGTATGCAATTTATCATATTTTTTATGATTATATTTATAGCATTTAGATAAATATTTCAAAAACCTTAAAGTTAATTTGTGTCACGTATCGGTTGAAATGTTATCGACTATCGAATATCTATAATAATCGGAATGATAATATTGTTATCGGCTAGTGAGGCCGACGGGTTTGCCCTCGATCAATTTTGTATGGTATTAATTTAGCAGTCGTCGAAAAAGAGCGAACGGGACATGTCGGCTCCGTATTATAGTGAAAAATAAAATAATTTAATATTCTATTTGCTCAATTCCGTATAAGTTATTAATTTAAGATAATAGCCTAATCAACCAGCTGAGTATCCGAAGTAACCAGTATCGGAAAGTTACAGTCCACTCCGCAACATTTGGTCCATCGACCCGGATATTCAGTGTTGATTAGGAAAGCGTAATTCGTATTGAGGCGTTAATCGAGTATAGTGCGAGAGTTAAAGTTACAAAGTAACTGCGGATTAAATAAAATTGTGCGTTGCATATGCGTAGTAAAATTGTTACGTGGCTTTTGCGATCAAAATAAATCGGATATTCGTATATTTCGAAAATCGAGAAAACAATTTACAATACATCCATAGGGGCGTGCAGGCAGCTGGCAAGTACAGTACTACAGCTTATATTGTGTATGGTGTATGGCGAAAAAGGGGCAAATCAATAACCTCAGCGACGATCGAATTTCCCGAGCAATAGCTGGGCCTCTCGAGAAAAATTGTCTTACAACGTCTGGCATAAAGGTAAGAGTCTCTGATTTAAGATAATAGCCTAATCAACCAGCTGAGTATCCGAAGTAACCAGTATCGGAAAGTTACAGTCCACTCCGCAACAATTTGAATAAAATTTTTTCATGAAACATTGATCAATAATTACTATAAAGCGATACGATATTGTGAAGAAGAAATAGAACAATAAGTGGTACTATATTAAGTACTATAAGACAGTGGCGTATTTAATGAGGGGAGGATATAGGGGATAGACCCCCCCCCTTGGCATTTTTTTTGTAGAGTTAAGTTTTCTTATTTTCTGTATTTCTCAATATGATATTACTTTTAAGTATGTTTGTTTTCTAAATGTTCTAGACGTGGTAATTTTACCTCTCTGATGTACTATACGCCACTAGTCATTTGCGGAATATATGACGTGACTATTGGACAATAAAAACATCGATGGTAGTTTGGTGTACCTACTGTACTTTTTAATTTTTTGTGAATTATTTTTCATGCATGAGTGTTTAAAAGCCCGATAATTAGTTGGTTAATAAAACAAAACTATCATGAAGACTGTAGATTTACCATAGGTTGTGGGTTTACTTTTAGTGACTGAAAAAATTGTATTCACCTCTGGGTTAAATACTTTAGATGTTTGTGATAAAGAGTTTTATCAAAATATTCATGAACTCTTGAAAATATTTTGTACTTTGCCTGTATCAACTGCTACACCTGAACGATGTTTTTCAAGTTTTTATTAAGTATTAACAGGGCCATATTTACAATTTGTGCGCCCAGGGTCAACAATATTTGTATGCCCTCCACCACACCAAAAAAAAATAAATCCGTTTTTTAATTATGAAAATGTTGTTAAGAACACAGATCACGATGATACATTATTTTAATTATTGTCAAAATGTATAATACCATACAATTGTAATCTACAAAAAAAATGTCAAAAATTAATTGTATGGTTATCATTGATTGACAAAATGAGTAAATTACGCCAAATGTCCGTATCATAGTCATGCAATACAAAAAGTCCAAGTATAGAGGTACTCAACCAAATCCTTACCAAAAAAAAAAAAATGTTATTTATATAATATACAACGGCGCTTGGTAGCCCATAAATGTCTCAAAAATTGGCCGCTCGGGGCAAATTTCCCCGTTGCCCCCCCCACTTAAATACGGCCCTTAGTATAAAGGCTTACCTAATAAATAATATGACAGAAGTAAATATTTTATCAATTTTCCTATGTAATATTGAATATTGAATAATAATTTTATTATAAATTAAGTAGTAATAATTATTATATACTTTGTTCATTAGAACCGACTTAATGTGTTGGCTTTATGGGCATGGCACCGGTCAATACAATAATCCTGCCAGATGAGGTTATCGATGAACTTAGCATCCAAAAATATAGTAAACGGGATTTGTGTTATAACTATTTATTTTTTTTATCGTATTAATCACGGGATTGGAGTTAGTATGCGTTTATAAAAAAATATGCTATTAGGTACTATACAATTTGTGTTAATTCTTATTTCGCCTTGATCCACATTAACCTCAACAAGTTAGGGGATTTTAAAAATGTATATTATGTACGTATTAATGGGTGTACTTATTATTATATATTTCATCCCCCTAGCAAAATTCCTAAATACGCCACTGCTATAAGATAATGATGTTGATTTTTGAAACCTATTTGCTTATTTAAAGCAATGTTAAGGAGAACGATAAGGTTTGTTATAATGGAAGTAATTTAAGAGAAAAATCAGAGAAAAAATTGACAATTAATGTTATCGAAGAATTGAGAAGTGACGGGTGAATAAGGTAAATTAATATTAAGATTGGGAATAGAATGTGGGATTTAATATCTCAACATGAATCGTATATAAATCCTAACCAAACGATCGTGACAATAATTATTGTGACTTTACAGTAGTTGGTTTTTAATGGACACCAACGAGAGTAAACTTTTTTGTTCACACCATATATTATTATAGATACTAATCATTAAGAAATCTGTTATAGTAATAATTCTGGTTATCGATTATTTATAGAGAGTTAATGTTGCCTTATTCAAATCGATCGTAAAGTAACCATCATAATACATTCACTGCAACATTTATTTCCTTACAGTGGATGTAATACATTTTCAAAAACCTTTGCATAACGTTATGAGAGTTATATTTGTATATATTTTTTATTACTCGACGAAAATTGTATTCCTAGAACTTTGTATTATAAAAATGTTTATGTACACTTAATCGTATACTAATAAAAGTCTTTTCAATATTAAATGAGGTTTTTTATTTCCTTTAGTATTAAAATGAATTTTTTTAACAGCCCAGACTTTACATTGTGTTCATGTTTCACTTTATATACCAAATTACACACAATACTCGTGATATACGATTATATGATTATATTTATTTCGATGAAAACTTATATCACCGCATAGGTACCATTTGACAGTCGGGTCTTTTACAAAGTCATCCAGACCAAGTTTAGTTTGACGATAGTTTTTTTTTTTTTCTGTTACGTAATAAGTTTTCAAATATTTTTTAAAATTTGTAATATTATAATACAAAACTATGGGCTAGAAAATTGTCTCGTCAATTGTCTATTTTTTTTGCTTGGCAAACCTACGATTTAATTTTATCCTCATAGACTCATAGTAATTTTACAGATTTATAAATAATTTACATACAAAATAATGGTACAATTTCTTTTTCCATATTAATGTTGAGATTTGAAGTTTATTCAATAATTCAATTATTAAAATTGTGTATAAATAAATGAAAATGGTATTTAATACTAAATATTATGTACACATTGAATTCAAAACAACCAACATTCTTTCGCATTGCAATGTAAGTTTGCATGATACATGTATGTATAATATATATTATGTGTACTGTATACTATATAGATTATAGGTATAATAAATATATAAATTAATTTAGATATTATATGTCTTTCCATGATAACAGCATCCTTTCTCCGTAGTTGTGGTCACTTATAATTACTAATTAATTAAATTCGCGCGTACTGTACACTTACGTACATTACACTTTTAATAATATAGTGTAAAATATAATAAACTTGGCTTATATTGATATAATAATATAGTTAATTTTATTACTTACTAAGTGCTTTAAATCTGATTAAAGTATTTTTAAAATTAATTAGTCTTTATTATGTGTATTTTTTTTTTTTATTATAAAAAGTGTAATACATAAAAATGCATTATTGAAGTGGGCAAGTGTTATTTTTTTTTTAAATCAAAACAAAAATTTAAAAAAGTTCTGAATTGAATTTATTTCAAGTTGTGTACACTAATTTGATATTTTGATACGATAACAACATTTATTTGATATAATAATGTTATTGATTATTGTACTATGGAAAAAACAAGTTTCTCCACCAAAGGTTAGTTATTTTATGTTATCAATTTTACAGTATCGATCAAATAATATCATCCGATTTGCATTTACAATGGCCGCTTTACTACATTTACTATTTTTAACCACATTTGTATTTACGAAGATGAATAATTTTATATTTTTACAACTTTACAAATTCCAATAATTGCGGTTATACCTACTTTAAAGAGAATAGAAATAAATAACACAGTATGAGTATACACAAAATGTATGTTTGGAATATATTTAAATACCTATCTACATTAAGAAACTACATCCAATGTCTAAATTTCAACGTGATTAAAAAAAATTATAATATTTCGGTTTTTATTATTACCTATTGTTATTATTTATTTCTCCGAACTCGTTTTATGTTCATTAATTTTGTTTTTTTTTTTTTGCTATAAAGTAAGTTTGTTTTGGAAAACTCTTCATCGCTTCTCATATACATATACATGTAGAGATTTTCATACACATCGACACTCAAAAACTACTATCGAGTCAGAAAGAGAGTAGTTTTTTTGGAGGTGCATTTTAAATGGTCGTCCTGCGGTCAACACTTGCGCATATACACAACAAAAATAGTAGGTGTATATATATACTATAGTATTATGTATAATAGCTGGTACCTCCATCGCCATGGGCGTGCAGAGACTGTCACGTGGGACTACAATACCAATATCATTATCGGATGATTTATCATCGCACTTCACTTCCATCCTCATTGCCACCACCGCCAACGAAACCCTTCGTCCTTTCTGTACAGGCCGTGACCATTACTCGGGCCACTTTACACGACAAGTTGGTCCGGTGAAGTGGGTGGGTCACGGTATGGGTTGGCGGTAAACTCTGACTAGTTGCTTATGCGACCCATGATCGTCGTCGCGATTTTACAGAAATATTCTTGGCTGCGATGTTTCAGCGGGCATTAAGACGCTTTTGGTGTTTGCAAAACTTCCTGGATCAATATTAATGAGCTCCGCGAGAATTATATTCGCCTCTTGAAATTAAAGCGTATACCTAAGTGGTGGAGTGATGGTGGTCATTTCGCAAGGAGATTATCTGTGAAAATTTTATTTTTTATCGGGTCAGTGAAAGCACGGGGTTGAAAGTCTCCTTTGAAGTTTCCGCGCGTCAAGTGAGTTGATATTATTTAATGGGCTAAAAAGAAAAAGTAAATAAAAAATTCACCACCACGAAGTGGTTTGAGTGTCACGTTCGTCACCATAACATAGGCTGACACCGGGGAGCTGGGGTTGTTAATATTATAATACGTTCCTGGCATGCCATAGAATAGTTAGAGGATGCTTAGAGATATGTCATTCTTCCTAGTTGGTCTATTTTAACGATTCCAATGATGGAACAAATATTATAATATGCACACCACCAGTCATCAACACCAGTGGTGGAGGTAGTGGCTTAATACGACTATGATAATTGTAGCAGTCGTTAAAATCTTAAATAATACAATGCCAGTTACAATACATATTATAGAGGTTTTTCAGCAGCGATAGGGGAGTATAGCTCCCATAGCGGATAAGACAGATTACAACAGCTATTTGTCGATCTGTCCAAACTTCAGGGGTTTCCGCGTGTCACTGCTCGTTTTTGTTTTTGTTGTATGAATGATGAGCAGCGAATACTTAGATAACCCAGCTGTTTTGTCATGGATATATCAATTAATCTATTACTATATTTTACCGTTAAAAAGCCGATGATCGGTAGGTGGACAATTTTTTCTCGGTTAGCATAAGAACTTTGATAACGGTTTCAAGTCCTGCTTTAATGTACATATTTTCAGAATAAAAACGATACCCCATCCCCCCTCTGTCAACATCTTAGAACGACATTTTTATAAATGTAAAGTTATTGGTGCATTCCAGCGAATGAGTATAAGAATCTGGCGAAAACGTCTAGTTTTCGCCACCGGTCATGGCGCACCACATCACGAACTTTTTGTTGTTTTTTTTCGTATTCGTTTACTATATTTAACACTTATATAACACTCAATATAGTGGTATTGCGCATCGGGTGCACATATAGGTCAAGGTTATAGAGTGGTTAGGTATAGCTTAATGGTTTCGTAAAATATATATTAGGTATATAATATACATATATATATATATATATATATATATAATATATTCCTAACGACGATTAACGTCCCACAGGACGACTACAACGACGTTTAGTGTATAGTTTCTTCACTCGTTGTTTAATATAATAATCGTCTGAACGTTTTGTGCAACGCTCTTAAAATAGCATTATTATTATTGTTTCCTATTTATCTTTACGCGTTGTATTTACATACCGCCGTAGGAGGTACGAGCGATAAGACGACAAACGCAGAAAACTTAATAATAATAATAATAATAATATTATGTATTTTATAGGTTGGAACTCGGTGCAATGCAACAAAATAATATGTCTTCGACGTGTTCAATAATAATAAATTGAACATCTACTTCGCACTAAGTCCAAGAAAATAATAATATTAAACAATGTTAAAATGCTATAATATCAGAAAATATGAATAATAATAAAGAACTCAATAGAAATCAAAACATTCATTTTTAGATTCTGAGCTGATCGAAAGAATGTATCGATTTTATAATAATTAAATGTGTTTTTTTCTTTTCTGTCTTGTCTGTCAGCAACATTTCGGGTAGTAAAAATACTCCGATATTCGAGATAAGCATCTCTAATGATAGAAAAGTGAATCTAGTTGGTACTTTTAGGAGGTCAAAATTGAAAAATCCAAGTGTCAGAAAGCGTCAACAAAAACTAAAAAATAGTGAAAAAAGTGGTAATTTTTACGCAAACCCAATTTTTAAAAAAATCAATTTATTATTTTGGTGTACCTCAAAATTTAATGAACATAGACTCTTGAAATTTTCACCAAATATTTACATTAGCATTTTCCATATATTAATCTATTAATCTATAAATATCAATAAAGTTTTATCTGTTGGGCCAAAAATTTAATACGAGGCTCTTGATATATTGTTACAATATCAGTTGAAAAATATTAAGAATACATAGGCACACATTTTTCTTATAAGCATTTATAGATCGAATTTTGACAAAATTTATCAAATTCAAAATTGAATATTTATTTTGTAGTTAAAAATGTGTAAAATGTTCAACTTTTATATCTAAGGATTGAAAATTTAAAACAAGATTCCACATAAGTAGTTAATTCTGTTACCAAAAATCTTATAAATACAGATGGACAGTTTATTTTTGTAGTCATTTTAAGTTCAAATTTGGATGAAATTACATAATAAAAAAACTAGAATAACTATTTTAGTTATTTTGTTGTGGTTGTATAATATTATTCGTGGGAACTTGAAATTTCTAAAGTACATTATTATATATTTATGATAGTATCAGGGTTTGTTGTTTATGTATAATGTGTTATAAGTACCTAATGGATTTTGTGATATGATAAATTTGGAATCTATTATAGGGCAATTTTTTTTAATACCATATATAAGTATATAATAATATGTCTTATATACTTAGACTGACATACCGTCTCCGCTCAGGATCGTTTTTCTTACACAATGATTTTATATCATTGAATTCAAATTTAATACCATCCATTTTACAGTGACCCACCTGTAACCTATACTGTACAGCAGAGCATATTTTTTCATATTAAATTTGATTATTTTTACAAGTACCTATGTTAGGCTGACACAACTTCTCCGCTCAGAATATTTTTTCGTACACAATGATTTATCAACTGATTTCAAATATAACACATATCCATTACAACGACATCCTTGACAATTACTGAACAGCAGAGTGGTACCCACTTGTCAACCTTTTTTAAATTTTAAAATCTATTTTTAAATTTATATACCTGTGCAAGGCCGAGTATTATAATGCATTATAAATGATTAATATTGATCTATAATAAATTATAGGTACTAAAATGAACCTCGTATTTTAATATGTAAGGTATAGTTTGTCATTTGTATATATTTTACCTAACCTAACAAACATCAAAAAACCTGTAAACAGCATGACCTGTGCTTTGAGGATATTTGACTAGAATAATAATATTATTTTAGGTTCCTACACGTTTTTTAAATATTAAAATAAAATATTTTAGTGAAATTTAAGTTAACATAATATTTTTATATTCTAACACACATACAATTTCCACAGAAGCTTATACGTGATATTAAAGGAGTAAGTACGTTAATTTAAATTGTATATTATTATAATAGGCTTGCAATAACAAAATTCTCTATTTTCGTCGTTAAAACATTAACGGTCTATCATCATACTTGACCTTAGCTTTTATATTTCAGTTGTAATTTCATGTTCCAACGTCATTTATCTCAGTAATTTATTTAAGTACATCGCCATAAAGAGACCAAATAATGCGCTTTAGACGGACCCGTTTTCAAAGTTAATTTCAATCCATTGTCCGGGGTTCGGAGCGCCAAATTTCAAGTTTTCGCATTATTCATTTTGATAGTCATGAAGGTCGTTAATATTATTTTATTGCGTGTTGTACCATGTTGCGTCTATACCGGTAAACAATTAAGTTTTCAGTAAAATTCGAAAATAACAAAATGATTTACTTAAAAACTTGAAGCGCCAATAGTAGCTGCTGATATATATTATTATATAGGAACAATATTACACATATATACATAATATAAAATATACACAAACATATATTATATGCATAATGGAACACGATAGAATTTGTGTTCTGCAGCGCGCCGACCAATACTCGACTTGTTATTAGTTGTTTTTAATGACGATTTACTTGCCCTGGTAGAGGAAAAACTTTGCGTGTGTGTTATATAGCAGGTAGGGCAATTTAGTTAGTGTCGTCGTTTATTTATTTATATAATAACCTATTGAAAATACCAACAAAGGAACAAATAAACGTAAAACTGCTGTGTTAGGGTCCCAAACGTTTTGAAATCAAAATTACAATATTATAGGTACAAGTGTGTGTATACTTTTTTGTTGCTATATAATATGCATAAGCATAGCATGGTATATGAAATATTATTTTTACTGTCGGTAAATCATCCTAAAGGTGTTCATCTTAGAAGTTTACTTGAAAACAAGCCCATTTTTAAAATTCAAACTATCCACCAAATTTATCGAGTCATTACAACATATACTATTACCATATTATATACTGCAGGTATCAAAACAGAGGGAATTTATTTACGAATAATTTATTATCATTGCTATACGATCATCCCGTATGTCTTCAACTTAGGTGTTTAAGTGGAAACAAGTCCAGGGTGGTCAAGACTCAAACATCTATCCACCAAATTGCTTAATTGCCCTAATCATTATTACATAATATACAGTTACCATAATTATACTGCATTTATCAAAAAATAGAGAATTTATATACGAATAGTTCTCATTGATATGCGATCCGAAGGTGTTCATCATCTCAGCCGTATTCGATAAAAAAAATCCCGTATTTAACACTCGAACGTATATCCACCAAATGTCCCCAATCATTATAATACACACAGTTATCATCTACACAGTCATACAAATCAAGCCAGTTTATAAACAAATAGTTTTCATTGCTACACAATGTCAGATAGGTACCATCAATTTATTGTTGAAGGCTCCAACGCTATAGCTTCACTACGTCGTCTACCTGTAAACTGTACATTATAATATTATGTACCTACGTAATATTCAAGAAACTGTACAAGTTATAATAAGCTTGCATTATGCGTGGTTAAACTTCAAAGCGCGACGCTGAAAGGATCGAATAAAATTTAATAAAATATCAAACCCTGTATGACTGTATGCAAGCTGTGTTTATTCTTCCAAATCCAATACAC